TGCCTCCGCCGCCCCACTCTGGGGGGATCGAGCCCACACCCCAGGTGCATGCCCTTGACCAGAATGGAACCTGGGACCCTTCAGTCTGCAGGTCAACGCTCTATCCACTGAGCCACACCAGCAAGGCTCATCTCAGTATTTTTCAGTGTCACCCAGTGTTTTTATAACAAGCACGTATTCTGTGTGTAATCAGAATAAGGAGAATATTCCCAGCTGGCGCGGCTCAGCGGTTGAGCGTCGACCTATGAACCATGATTTGATTCCAGTCAGGGCACATGCCCATGAGGACTTGATCCCCAGTGTGGGGTGTGCAGGAGGCAGCCAGTCAATGACTTTCTCTCATCATTGATGTTTCTCTCTCTCTCCCTCATCTCCCTGAAACCAATAAAAATATATTTTAAAAAAAGAATAAGGGGAGTGTGACTGCTGGGAAAGGGAAGATGGTCGCAGGGAGCGGGGTGGAGGGCGTGCCTGCCCTGACCCTTCCCCTCGCCCTCGCCCAGGTGCCCACGCCCAGATGGTGCAGGTGAACGACTCCATGTACGGGTTCGTCGGCACCGACGTGGTGCTGCACTGCAACTTCGCCAACCCGCTGCCCAGTGTGAAGATAACCCAGGTCACCTGGCAGAAGGCGACCAACGGCTCCAAGCAGAACGTGGCCATCTACAACCCGGCCATGGGCGTCTCGGTGCTGGCCCCCTACCGCGACCGCGTGCAGTTCCTGCGGCCCTCCTTCACCGACGGCACCATCCGCCTCTCCCGCCTTGAGCTGGACGACGAGGGCGTCTACATCTGCGAGTTTGCCACCTTCCCTGCGGGCAACCGAGAGAGCCAGCTCAACCTGACCGTGATGGGTGAGCTGGCCCCTCCCTCCCCACAGGCGAGGGCCTGCGCTGGGTGTGGCCTCCGTGTGTTTCAGGGGCCCAGACACTCTCTTCTGTTGGCGAGCTCCCAGGGCTCCAGGCATGGTACCTCCAGTCCCTCTGGCCTGGCTGCCCACAGGTCCTAGGGGTTGGGGGCAAGGCCTGGGCTCTGAATGGAGCTGAGGGCCAGTATTCAGGCTGCAGCCCCACTGTGGGGCCACTGGTGGGTGGCAGAAGGCGTGCAGAGCCTCAGACGCCACGGGAAAGAGGGCTGCAGGAGCCATTGCCTGGATCGTGGCCTGCCTCCCAGAGGCCTGGGCCTGCCCGAGAGGGTGCAGATGGTGGAGCAGAGGTCGGTCATGCAGAGTCCCGGGAGGGGTGCCGGGAGCACAGCGATAGGGACAGCTACGGAGTCCTGAGCGAGGCCTGGCAGGGGCACCCCACCCGGGCCCCTCTGCCCGGGCATGAGCGCCAGGCCCATGGCTCCCCCCACTTCCCGCAGCCAAACCCACCAACTGGATCGAGAGCAGCCAGGCAGCGCTCCGTGCGGAGAAGGGGCGGGACGAGAAGGTCCTGGTGGCCACCTGCACCTCGGCCAACGGGAAGCCGCCTGGCGTGCTGTCCTGGGAAACGCGGCTGAAGGGGGAGGCTGAGTACCAGGAGGTCCGGAACCCCAACGGCACGGTCACCGTTGTCAGCCGCTACCGCCTGGTGCCCGGCCGGGAGGCCCACCTGCAGCCCCTGGCCTGCGTCGTCAACTACCACGTGGACCGCTTCCGGGACAGCATCACCGTCCACGTGCAGTGTGAGCGGGGGCAGGTGCGGTGGGCGGGCCTCCCTTCTCCTGTCACCCCCCAGCCCCTTTTCTCCCCTCCCACCTCTCCCCTTCCTCTGCCCTCTCCCCTCTCCTCTTCCTCCTCCTCTGTTCCCCACGTTGTACTGTGATCTTCCCACCCCTCACGCTTCCCCTCTCTGGCTGGTTCCGTGCCACTGTCAATGCCACCCCTTCGCTGTCTGGGGTCCCCCGGCCTCACGTCCTGCTCCTCTGACCTCGTTCTTTTGGCCACAGATGAGCCTGAGGTGACCATCGAAGGGTTTGATGGGAATTGGTACCTGCAGCGGATGGATGTGAAGCTCACCTGCAAAGCCGACGCTAACCCCCCGGCCACCGAGTACCACTGGACCACGTGAGTGCGAGGGCCGGCCCCTTGGGTGCCTGCTGGTCACAGAGGGCCCCACCCAACCTCAGAAGCGTGAGCCAGGGAGGACATTCAGGTCTAGGCTCAGGTTTCTTGGTGAGAAGGGGAATGGACCGTGAGAGGCCTGAGTGAGTGACAGCGTTGGTCAGCGGGACAGACCGGTCGGCCAGAGGCTCACCTTGTGACCTCCCCCTTCTGCTCCTAATAATGCTGCCTTTCCCGCAGGTGATTCAGTCTGAGTCGCTGCCACCCCAGCCCCCAGCATTTATTTCTGTCCAGGTGTCCCCAGGAAAGCTGGCTTTCTGGAGCCTTTCAGACCTTTGTTCCTCCTCCAACACCCCCATGTTCTCAGGGAGGAGGCTGCCGTCAGCCCAGAGCACCTGTGTGCCGGGGGCTCCTCCCATGTCCCGTTGTCCCTCTCCTGGCCTCACGGGCCTCAGGCCTGGTCCTCAGGGCTCTGTCCCCTCCAGTGGCCCAGTGCGGCCGCCAGCTCTCCTGGAGAAGGGCTGTGGGGTAGGGAGGCCGCGGAGGAGCCGACACGGTGGGCAGAGACGGCTGTCTAGGTTACATCTACATCTTTTTCTTTTTTTAAACACATTTATTATTTTTAAAATATATTTTTATTGAGCCCTCAACCTGGGCCTGTGCTCCGACCAGGAATCAAACCGGACCCTTCAGTCCGCAGGCCGACGCTCTACCCACTGAGCAACACCAACCAGGGCTCCACATTCCTTTGCAGGAGGGAGAGGGCACTGGGCACCTGCCGCCGCCCTCTACCTCCTGGAACCGGAAGTGCTTCTGAAGGTGTGAGTGCGTGGGGCCTGCTCGCCATGTCCATCCATGGGCCCCCAGCTGTGGAGCCCACGGAGTAATCGCTCTGCGGCCTTGGCGATCAAGAGGAAGGAAGTTCCCTATGTTCCGGAAACTTCTAGGCCTGTGACATGACCAGCAAGAACACAAGAGAGGGACATGGAACAATTCCTGAGCCTGGGTCACATCTCCTTACCCAAGTAGCTTGTTAAAATGCAGATAGCCAGCCCGGCCGGCATGGCTCAGGGGTTGAGCGTCGACCTATGAACCAGGAGGTCAGGGTTCAATTCCTGATCAGGGCACATGCCCAGGTTTGCAGGTTCCATCCCAGTGTGGGGCGTGCAGGAGGCAGCCAATCAATGATTCTCATCACTGATGTTTCTCTCTCTCCCTCTCCCTTTCTCAAATCAATAAAAAAATTTTTGAAAAAATACAGATCTCAGGCCATGGCCCCAGTGGTCCTGCTTTAGTAGAGCTGGGGCGAGAGCCCAGACATCTGTGTGGTTAACCAGGTCAGCAACCAGGAGCCACGAGTGTTAGAAAGAGCGCCGGCAGGCGTCCAGAGAGTGGCCGAAGCTCCAGTCCTGCCCCTATTGGCTTTCCTTGGCCTTGACCCTCAGGGCCCCCCACCTGTACAGCGGGGCTCCCATCCCCGGGAGCTTCCGGGCAGTGACAGTCAGGAGGGAACGGCCGAGGCCCAGAGCGCTGCCCATGCAGGAGGTGGTGGTGGCTCTCCTCTGACTCCTTCTGAGCCAGACCCGCCCGCTCACTGCTGGGCTGGCGCCAGGTGGTGGCAGGAGGGTCCTGAACCGCGTGCCGCCCCCCCCCCACCCCCCGCAGGCTGAACGGCTCTCTGCCCAGGGGCGTGGAGGCCCAGAACAGCACCCTCCTCTTCAGGGGACCTATCGACTACAGCCTGACGGGGACCTACGTCTGCGAGGCCACCAACCCCATCGGCACCCGCTCTGGCCAGGTGGAGGTCAACATCACAGGTGGGAAGCCGCACCCTCCCGCCCCCCTGCCCCCCCACTGCTCCTCCACTGCCGCGTCCCCGCCTTCTGGTTGCTTTGTCACAGGAAGCTTATGCCTCCTTTTCCTGCATCTCCCATTCTCCTGGGAACCCTGGCCTTTCTCTTTCCTCGTTCATGGCTGTGAGAGACAGTCGGGAGGCCCTGAGCAGGAGGGGGTAAGTGCTGTTCACAGCAGAGCTGCTTGTGGTATGGGTGTGAGCATCCACCCTGGGCTCTGCCAGCAGCAGCCACTGTGGAGGCCAGCTTGAGGGAGGGGGGGTTGCAATGGAGCTAATTTCCAAGCTCTCCCTCTGGGGTTCAGGGAGCTCCCATGTGCTGGAGGAGGAGGCCGGCCTGGAGGAGGAGGAGGGAGCCGGCCTGGAGGAGAGGGGGCCTGCCTGGAGGAGGAGGGGGCCGGCCTGGAGG